ACCTGTTTCGGATAATGCACGCTGCGAACAATGACGTGCGGTGATGTATGTGGGTTACGGGTCGAGCAGCTGTTGCTCTCGACAACTGGTTCCTCACACTCCCGTGGGCGCTCACAATGTCACAATGACGTGTGAGCACTTGTGACAGCATCGTGTGGGTACTACATACTACATTGGAGTTTGTATTACAAGCGCTTGGCTGCACGCAAGGGTGGCGCGACTCTTGACGCTCGCTATACAACATACGCGCGCGTATTTCCAAAATACATCCAATGAAGCCAGCGCAAATGTGATTAGCTACTCCAATCGATACGCGCATTTCTCATCGGGAATACATTAATTGTATATCGTTAGACGTGGCATTGATTATTGTACAGCAGCGCGATATATTTGTAAAAAGATATAAGGATGTTTTGTAGCTATTTTCCAAATATTGAGAATTTCATGAAAATTGTATAGAATCTCCTTACATATAAAATCATCTAATATCAGATTTCTCTCTGTATATTCACATCTTCATCTTTATTCCATTAAACATACAGCAAGTATTAGAAGTCAACTATAATTCTCCGCGTTATGGTTAAAAATTTTAAATTGGGTTCCTTCCCATGAAAATTTCAATTTTTATCAATAAGTATTAAAGCACAAATATATAAAAAATTTTTCTTTTCTATTCTTCCTTTGTTTTGTTTATTTTCAAAATATTGAGAATTTAATGAAAATTGTACAGAATGTTCTTGCATGTGTTTAGAAGTATAATTTCACTTCTCCAAAAATTGTACTTCAGTACAATTTTTAAATCGATTCACTAAAACGTTCGCACGTTATAAGGATTTTAATTTGCACCGAATTAATATGTGTTCTTATGGGAAACCTATAACCATGTCGATTCAAATGACAAAAACACATGGAAATAATATTCAGAATTTGTTGAAAATTTGCAAAAGTTTAGAGGAAATATTTGGTCAAATAATATTATATATATATAATAATATTATACAGGGTCTACCAAAAGTGTGGAAACCCCTAAATATCTCGGAAAATATACGTTTTACAGAAAAGTGTTTCCAACAAAAGTTGTAGGGTTTAAGAAGATCTATATACTGATTCTATCAGTTTGACCTTGGATGGCGTCGTCAAGGTCAGGTCAAGGTCACATTGACTTTTTTAAATGACACCCCCTACATTTGATTGCATATTCTTATAGCTTAATTCAAGAGCTTTCCAAAACACTATAATAATGTTCATTTTTATTAAGTACTTTGCGAGTTATGAGGGTTGAAATAATTTCTTAATTTTACATAAACCATAAAATATCTAGTAAACCATTCATTTTTCGATTATCTTACCTTCATACTTTTATGTACAAAATAATGAAAGGAATCAATTGGTGTAAAGAAAACATACAGTTGTTTTTAAGAAAAAATATGGAATTGTTAATTGCAAATTACATATTTTTTCTTAGAAACAACTATGTGTTTTCTTTACACCAATTGATTCCTCTCATTAATTTGTACATAAAAGTATGAAGGTAAGATAATCGAAAAATGAATGGTTTACTAGATATTTTATGGTTTATGTAAAATTAAGAAATTATTTCAACCCTCATAACTCGCAAAGTACTTAATAAAAATGAACATTATTATAGTGTTTTGGAAAGCTCTTGAATTAAGCTATAAGAATATGCAATCAAATGTAGGGGGTGTCATTTAAAAAAGTCAATGTGACCTTGACCTGACCTTGACGACGCCATCCAAGGTCAAACTGATAGAATCAGTATATAGATCTTCTTAAACCCTACAACTTTTGTTGGAAACACTTTTCTGTAAAACGTATATTTTCCGAGATATTTAGGGGTTTCCACACTTTTGGTAGACCCTGTATATATATAATAATATTATATATATTAAAAGATATATAATAAATAATAAAATATATAATATATTAAAAAGATATTAAATATAATTCAATAAAATTAGCCATCTGTCACAAGCCAAAAATTAATCATTTCGGAATATTTCACTAAAAACGCAATAAACATTAAAAAATACATCTCTGCACTGTAGCAAAGATCAAATTGTAATATTCCACACAATTTCCAAAAGTGGATACATTCGTCAATATTGATTTTCAGCCTTTTCGCTGGGATCGTACATACGAAACATCCTTAAAAGATTGTAGAAAATAGTACAATTGTTTGGAGAAAAAAACAAAGGGAGAAAATGATCGTTAATATTGTTGATATTGTCAAAGGGAGTAGGTGAAAATTTGCCTACGCCCATCATCGGGACGTATATTAATCTCACCGTATATAACGCGATAGCAAGCGATAAGTAGTCCAATTTAGCAAGATACGTCACGTGAAGCCATCCATGTCGAACTTAGCGCGGTACGCTTTGTAAAGCCTCGGCAGCTTTCGCCCTTCTCGACACGGTGCGCAAGCTGTGCAGCGGGCTCGTATTCGCTGGCTATCGAGTCTGGATCACGTCACGTCGCGTCGGATCGCGTTACGCTCTCGACACTGATCGGAGATTAGCGCCGCCAAACCCCTGCCACGATTCTCTCTCTCTCTCTCTCTCTCTCCCTCTTCAATCCGCACCTCGCCCCTACCCTACCCACCCTACACCATCCCTCGGATTGCATTCAAATCACGCACAAAGAGCTCAACTTGAGAGCTTCTCTCGTAACCGCACTAGTGCCGCGCCTATCTGACAGCCGCATCTAACGGATTTTTAACGACCTTTTGTTGGTCAAAAAAAGAATGCGTATAAGCTTCCGATAGTTGGTTGGCCCTGTGAACGAGACAACGCACGGAAACGATGATCAGATAGTGCCGGGCATACCTTTTGATAAATCCGTGCGTCGCGCAGCATGGTGTAAAGGGGAAAGGTATACATATTTCACAGATTATCCTCGCCAATGCTAATTTGAAATTGGAGCTACCGTGGAAATCGGGATCGTGATTTATCGAAAGACGAAAGATAACGATGATTCGCTTCTTTCCGTCGAAATATTCGCGACGGTCGAGAGTACGAGAAACGCGGCGCGACTAATTATCCCAATTTAACTAATAGGCCGCGTAAACTACAATCGGCGGGCTTTGAAATTACCAGCAGTACCGATCGTAAATTATCACGTGCAACACCTTTGTTTACACGACTCTCCACGACCGGGGAATCCTGAAATTCAATTGTTGTCGACAGGTACGTACCTTAAGTACGGCCAGTGATAAATGACTCGTACCGCGCGCCTCGTCGTTACCGTCTCGTTTCGAACTTCCTTGCTCGTGGCATAGTTCGTTTAACGTCACGTCGGATCTTCAAGATGGCGGTGAGCACAAGGGGGAACGATTTTGCGAGAGTCGTTAGCACGGCACCGGACCACGCCTCCTTCGGCGAGGTCGCCTCCGAGTACGAACGCGTCCGTGCTCCACAAAGAACGGTTGAAAGGCACTCGAGGCGAGAGCGGGAATTGCTGGAAAGACTCGTGAAACAAGAAATAATCACCCTATTATCAAGAGTTTAACGAGGCTTCGCTTATTATCGAACGTCGTCTATCTCTCCGGAGCTCCGGCAAAATGCCGGAGGACTGGGCTATCCGGCCGGGGAAGTATGAATTTCGCCTCCTATATTTCACCGACACCTCGCGCTCACGACGTTAATTCATGTCTTATGAAAATATACGCAAGGTGCGCGCAAAAGGTAACAAGACGTTATTAATTGAATATCTCTCGCATTTATCTTCACGTGTCTCGAAATGTTCTACCGTAATCAGTTTTGTGACGCGACGCGGTTTAGATACGAGGGATGTTGAAAATAATGCGCGCTTTCAACGATATACGGACGATAGCGGATTTTTCAAGAGTAATGTTTATTTATAAGGCGAGCTCCGAGTTTCAATGAAAGCCATCCATTCGCGTGAGAAACTAAAAAAAAAAAGAAAACAGCTTCCTCCCGCTGACTTGCTTGTCATACATCGCGTTACTTAATATGCTGTCGCTTTGTTAATTTCTGCACTTCGGGTTATAATTAATGCCCGCTGAAATGTAAGACTTGCGTGAATGTTAATCGTTTTTCTGCCATAAAAACCCGCGGTTTCCGTTCCACCTCTTTGTTACCTTCCATAAAAATGTAAGTTCCGCAGTAATAAATCACTTTTAATCAACTTCCGTTTTGATACAAGAGCTCGTTAAGCGAACGCCACGAATGTGCTGGAATTAATAACGCGATAACACACTCGGTAACGTATTGAATCAGTCAAGAGAGACGCGTTTCGAAATCATATATATATATCGCACGCAGACACTGTCTGTTACATTCGTAATTGAGGACAATCTTGATATCGATATCGATAGAGTCGGACGATCTTGATATCGATAAAGGCGGACGCGTATCGCTGGAAAATCAATTTTCCTCGATAAGTCGACGAGGGCTCGCGAAGAAACCGTGCACAATTCGTACCATTCGTTACCGCGAGTAATGAAAAATGGTCCCGAGCTTAGATGGAAGCAGGTCGCGTCGGAAGAGATATAGATAGGTAAGCAACTATGGGAGGATGATAGAGTGGGCCTATGCATTCGTCCGGTAAATAGCGTGATTGATCGATATTATATTCATAACAGGCAACGACTTGTCATCAATCATATCCCGTCGCGCATAACTGCGGGTCTCTGTAATATACCTGCCCGGCCGGTATAATACATTACGCCTCCAGTTCGTATTCGGTACACCGGGTGATCTGGAAACATTCTCCTTGTGCCTCCCGCGGAAAGCGCGCACGCTAGAAAATTAATGGCCTCGACAACGGAATGACGCATTGTAAATACATTACACGTGTGTCTCGCTTCTTTCCTTCTTCTTTTTTTTGCCTTTCTTTTCGAAGCGAAGAATCGGGAACACGAGTCGCTGTCAACGGAATATTACAAATATATGCGTGAAATTATTCCACGATCAAAATATTATATTTTCATTATTTAAAGTAGGTAATCTCTCTTCCTCTCTCGCTCCTCCTCGCATACATATGTATACGGAGTCACGCGCTTGCGTTCTGGACGCGATGGGTTGATGTGCGTGACAATGGGTCCGGTGCTGACACGGTAGCCTTCCCCCGCTGCCACTCAAAGCCTCTCAGGTAACGCGATCCCGGCAGCCTAAATAAACAAGCTAGAATAAATAAAAGCTATTCTAAACGTCAGCTCGGTGTTTGCCTAGCTGTCACGGAAGTGGAGGGCACTCTCAGTCTCAAATGGATATCGAATCGGCCGTTTACAGCCCTCTTCTTTCGACGCGCGATAGGCCACCGTTCCCTACCGATTCCACCATTTTTTTTTTAATCATCGCCGTCACGCTCGTAGATTGGCAACGCCAAAAGGAATCTAGAACTCGAAATATACCAAGTACACACGATTGAAATTTCCAACAAAAATATCAAATCTCGGCGTGGATGAGAATTTAATCGCCCCATCGTCGAGCGAAAAAAGGTGACGAGTGTTGCTTTACAGAAACGATTACAAAGTTGGATGGAAGTAAAATGTCTAATTAATGCGCGGGAAACGTCGATTCCACGACGATCGGGAGCAATCGCGAAAGACGAGTCCGAGATAAGCGGATAGGCGGGCACACGGTTGTGGAAGAAGCAAATGAAATTGACAGTCGACGTTTGTCTGCGCGCTCCTCTCGCTCGTAGTCTCTCTGTAGTCTGTCTGTCAGCATGACACCGAGCGACGCCTTCTTTATTATACATTCAATTATTAGGCGCTGCGCATGACAAGCGCTATTGCATATTTATATCTGCCAGCCGAGGCGAGCTCAGCCGGATAAGGGGGTTCCTGACAGCCCGTCACGAGCATACGTTAACATTCTTAATAACGTACCCGGTTTGTATACGTCCGACGTGTACGCGTACGTGTGGGTGACGCACACGCGCACACGTACGACGACGTATGAAATGCACGTGCATCCCACACACCCATCGTTGGGACACGAACGCGTAAAAGCCGCACGGCAGTGGTGTAATTTCAATACACGAGGAAGCTATCAACCTTTATAACCTGTTTATTACGATAATACCGTAAATTTGCATCGCGTGTTCCCCGTAATCGCTCGCCGCGGCGGATGTCATATTACGTTAACTACAGTAGTAGTTAAATAGGCATCCGGGGAATAGGCCCAAACCGGCGTACCCTGAAATTTGCGCCACTCCTGGTGTGTGTACATGGATATCGGTTTCAGGGCGGTTTAATGAATTCCGCTTCGAATTTTACGTGGCAGCTTGTTTACACTTAACCGATAAAACACATCCGACCGATAAATCAGCCCTGATTTTATACATTATACATGTATACGTATATATGTCACGTATTTGTATACGTGTCATAATTTACTCGATTACGATTACGTAGGCACATTTGAAATTCAATCTGGGAATTATCTGGGAAAACAGAACGTTGCGTAGCGATGTTTGAAGACTGAAATAGAAATTCATACGTATACGCGTTCGATTAGATCGGGCGAATTCACCCGCATGTTGCGAGCGCGGACGTGCTCGAGGTGTTGCAAATTTCATAATGAATTCAATATTGTGATGCACCGGGTATATAAAGTTTTGCAGCAACTACAAACATTTTGTTATTCATATCCGTGTTACGCCGCATATTATTGAAGATGTTCGCGTCTACACGGAGATAAAATGCATGCCGATGTAGTAGCTTTTTCGTCAACAAAATGCTGAACACCGATCGTATATCAGACACCGCCCACGGCGACCGTGGCTCCATAAAAAGAACAAAAACTTTCTTATTTTCCCCGTCCATGGCCGCCTGCTTTGATATACGATACGTTTGTACCGTGTCGGCCAGAGCCTTCGAAAGCCGACCATCTACCGTAACAGCATTTTTATGCTAAACTGGTCGATGCAACTGACAAGAATTGACAGAATTCGGAAAACAGCTGACAGCCCGCCACGCAGCCACTCCTCTGTCCGCCGACGGTAAATTTCAAACCGCCTCTCCCTACTTTTTCTCCGGCCGCAAAACGAATGCCGGTCCATTTCTACCGTGTTCGCAGTCTCGCCCAGATAACCTCGAAAATTATGATTTAAATAAAGAGAAAAAAAAAAAGATCGTGCAAACTGTACGATATCAAAATCTGGAAAATTTTGTAAAACTGCACGGCACAAGGATGAAATAAAAATATTCATGCAAAACTACATGTATCGTACATGTTTTCATGCATTGATAATGAAGTGAGATTGCTTCGAAGCTGCGCAACAATTTAAATATATAGAAATTATCTTAATGTCGCTAGTCAAATAATCAAAGGATCATTGAAAAAAGTGTAATCGACGAAACTAGCCAAAAAATTTGTTTATTAATACGACGTTTCGACCATATGGTTGTGGTCCTTATCAAGTATATACTGGAAAAGATTTATAAATCTTTTCCAGTACTACACCTTTTTCAATGATCCTTAAATATACAGTTCTCATATTTGATATAATTGCAATTGCGAGAGCGACACTTGCGAGATCTCTCTTTCGTATTTAACGCACTATTTATTCATATAATGCACATGATAGATATTGCCATGTGTGATGAAATTAAGTTACGCTCGACTCTGTACGACCCTGTTGTACATAAACGACCTTACGATCGGAAAAACAAAAACTTAATTCGATTTAATCGCGCTATTACACGTCAGCGTACAATTTGCCACGCCTAAAGATATGCAAGATGCAAGACAGATGTAACTGTGACAGCAACTCTGCGCGCGTTCGCCAACAGTTAAAATGAAATTATATCTCTCGCAGGAGCTATTATGTCGTGCATTCTATTAACGGTGTAACATCATCTCATCTGTAATTTGCTTGATTTACAAACGGTAGGGAAAAAAGCCAGCGTAATTTCATCGTCGTATATAATATCGCTAATTTACGCGCATGAGATCCATCTTTGTCTGTTTGCATAATGAATCTCCCGCTCCATATTTACCATCCGATACTTACATTAATTGTGTTTAATCGACGGAACTGATGATTCACAACGTGCACGCTCATTAACTCTCGTTCGCTGCCAGCGTTTCGACTCCCATTCATAAGAGGGAGACTGCGTGGTTAACTATTAAAGCCGTACAACGCCCTGCGATATATCGGTAGGCAAAAGAAAGGCATTACGAGAGAGCGCCTTATGACGGATACGTGTCTATATCGGGTTATCAGCGACGTCTCAGCATCAGACTATGGCATCGTTATAGCCACGACATTGACGGACGGCTCTCTTACGCACGGTTGACGGGAAACACAAATTGTGGGCGCAGCTGCGCCGATAGTAATCAAGAAACACGGTAGGTAGTGGAGTAGAGTAGCCAGCTAATAATTCTCCCCTCTTCTTCCCCTACCCTTTCGCCCCTCTCCGCAGCCTCTCTCCCTCTATCTCTGTCCCTCGTTCTCCTATAAGCTGACACGCATATGCCCTAGGCTATAGACTAGGAAGAGACGCGCGGATAGATATACAAGAGGGGAGCAGGATAGAGCTAGTGGCACTTCACAGGAAAATAATGTTGATCTAGGTCGATACCTGTCATCCGCTGGTCGATCCACTGCCGAGATTACTCCTAGCCCCGGATTCGCCTCGCTTTACATTGATATTCGTGTATCCCCCACCTACCTTGTATATCCGCGCTCGATGAGGACCAACTGTACGACTCTACTATGATCAATGATGTAAATGCACTCAAATCTATTAATTACGCGATCTGTTATCAAAAGTGATGAGAAAATTAAAGGGAAAAGCTGGGCGAAATTTATTAAGTAAATCAATTATTACGCAAAGTTTTTGTTATAAATATCGATAATAATATACGTATCATCCAATCTCTTTAAATATTCGCATAATTGGAAGAAAGATTCAAGCATGACTGTGAATAAAAAAAAATTAGATGTATAAATATTACTGTCATATTTTTATGCTTTTGACATATATTCGCAATTCGCTTAAAAAATAGACTGATTATTAAATATGTAAAAGAATCGCACTAAAATTATCGCCTTGAAGTGACGCGAATAACTTGAACGAGATAATTACCAAGATTATATAACGCGAGACGACGGTTCGCGAACATATCGCAAATGCTGCCACCGTCAATCTACTTCTGCTCGCTCTAAATTGTTATCTTCTAACGGCACGTCGAGCCAAATGGTTAATCCGTCGAACCGTGTCTAATTCAATTTGACACGGTCTTTCATTTGATAGCTCGCTCTCACTCTATTCTTTCATATAACATCTTGTCAAATGTCAAATGCAAGTACTCTTGTGAAAATGTTGCATTATCAAGTTTCAAATATTGTACACGTACGACGCATTTTTTTTCAAATTTGCAGCATATACTTTTGTCATTTTACGTAATCATATAAGTAACTAGTCTCTCGCATTTCCAATCTCGCATTCAAATCGTATCTTTCAAATAATTTATTATATCCAGGTGAAATAATTTTATTTAAATATTCCGAACATTATATTTCTCGAGCATTATTAATACAGAAAAATATTCATCAGGATGCATACAAGTTTGACGTTTCAGAATAGATAGTACAAAAAAAAGATATAACTGGTGGAGAGACATGATAGAGAGAACTCGAAGATAGGGCGGAAACGTGTACGGATTAGAATGTAAATTAGCTCTGAGTGCTGTCACAATGCGACCTAATCTCGTTATGTTTAGGAAATATGATGCTGATGGAGTGCTTGTCAGTCACTTTTGGTGATAGGAGGCGTTGCTCATTGGTTGGGGAGCGATGGTTTGAATACGGACCAGGGGAGATATCATTATTTATGCTGTAAGTGTCCTCGCGGAACTCTCTTTTGAGTTAACACAAAGGCAGGCTGTATGAATCATGGTCGATTCGTTCCGAGACGGAATATTAATGAAGTCCGCCCGTAAAAATTCAATCTCGATTTTTGTGATAAAAAAAACTTGACAAATCTTACACCGACAATCGATTAAATCCCTGCGGATTAAGCGAAACTTGAGAGGAAAGGGTATATTCTGGAAAAGAGATAAAAAAAAAACTTGACGAATAATTTTGAGCTACCTCGCTCCTCTGAATAATAAACGAAACAGATTTTCATCCGGATATAATAAGTTACCAAGCGTCCTACATACAGCCACCAGCAAACGCAACGTCGTTTCGCTCAAAACGTTCGCTTTAGCCGCGATAGAAAAATCCAATTTGCCCAGGTCACGACGGACGCACGTTATATACAAGTATAAAACATACCTGTCAGTGGCGCGGAAAGCGGCTCCCACAAGAGTCGGTAATGCACGTGTCACGTGAGTGGCATAAAAGACAGGAGTGATGGAAGGCTAAATAGCAACAGTGTCGTGACATGCAACGGTGACCGAGCGGCCGACTGTCCCTGTCCGCGTGTGGAGTCACTGCGGCGCGACAAGCTGACATGTTTGCACGAAGGCCGCACGCTGATCGCGCACGAGCATTAACAAATACTCCGTTGCCCGCAGGGGCAACAGGATACATTTTACACACGTACAGGATGCGCCGAAGGGAACTTCATCGCGGACAGGTGGCCAGGATTCGTGGCAACGTGTCGACGAGCGACTTGATTTCCGCCGCGTTTGTTACCACGGCAATTAAAATAGAGTAGAGAAAGATTGCAAATCGATAAGAACGAACCGCTAGACGCGATATATGGAATTTTTTATTTTTTTTTTTTATTTTTTTTTTAATTAGAAGTAGTCAAGTAAGTATCGTGTTACAGTTAATATATACACTGAGAAAAATCGTTTGTTTGTACCAACAAGACGTATATTAATTGAAGGCATTTTGGTTAAATCAAACAAGGATTTCTAGTTATCATGATAAGACTCGAGTTTTTATAACTAGAACGTTTAAGGATGTTTTGTAGCTATTTTCCAAATATTGAGAATTTCATGAAAATTGTACAGAATGTCCTTACATATGTTTAGAATCTTTAGTACAATTTTTAAATCGATTCACTGAAGCGTTCACGAGTTGTAAGGATTTTAATTTGCATCGAATTATGTGTTCCTATGGGAAACGTATAACTACGTTGATTCAAATGACAAAAACACATGGAAATAATATTCAAAATTTGTTTAAAATTTGCAAAAGTTTAGATACAGAGGAAATATTTCGTCAAATAATAGTATACAAGTACTAACTGGTTAAAAAGATATTAAATGTAATTTAATGAAATTAGCCATGTATCTGTCAAATTCTCTGCCAAAAGTTAAAAATAAAGAGGCTATTCCACACATTTCTTAAAATTTCTAAAAATACATCAGTGGATATATTCGTCAATATTGATTTTCAGATACTACTTTTTGCTAGGATTGTACATACAAAACATCCTTAATAGATTTTACTATAAGGATTTGGTTAGTATTTTCTGGTTGGATCTATAAAATTTCTTGTTATATTAATTTCTTTGCTTATTATATCGTATTTTAACCATGAAATGTATATAAAGAACTAGTATTAACGTTAAATTCAAAGTATATCTTTTTCCTCTTACGAGCAGTAGTGGCAGAAAAAGGACGCTAGCTCTCTGATTGTGTGTGTTTGAGCTGTATCCTCTTCTTGCTACTGTTTATCGGTTTAATTTCTAACAAACTGAACTTAAATAATTTACTCAATAATCTGAATTGAATTTATCCAATAATTTTGTTGGAATTTAGAATATTAAACAGACTTTTGAGATTAGATGGAAAAAATTTAAGACGACTTGATGCTGGCGAGCTTAGTATTATCAACTAGAAAATTTGGAAAATTGAACAGAAAAAAAATTAATCAGATTCATCTGGTAATTTCTACAAGAATTCTGGTTCGTCCATTTTCCAACAGACATACTGGTTGAATCTACCAGAATTCTAATTAATTCAAGCAGATTTTTTTCTCAGTGTACGCATAAACTTTACAATTCATGAAAAATTTTTCATTTTTACTTAAACGTTGGCTCGTGCAAAATTAGCCGGGACAATTAGTAGCCGACGAAACAATTTAACGAAAAGAGTGGCGAACGAGGCGTTCGGGTAAACGTTGTCTTTGGCGTTATACGCCGTGTTCTCTTTACGTTACCTCTTTACGAGCAGCTCCCTGCAGCAGCTCGCCGCCACGTATTTTTGCTCTTCCGTAATGTCTCCGCGCGGGTCTTTTGTTCCCCTCGATGCGGTAGTTTCACCGTAACGTATAAAGTTTGTGTTTTCTTGCGTGGCGTATAGTTGGCCGTTCTCGCTGGCATAAAGCCGGTGAGGTCGCCGGAGGAGAGCTAGAGGCCGCTTTAGGACAACGTACGACTGGCTCTCCCATTTTACTGGAAACACTTACGTTAGAATGAGACGCGAGACGAATATCTGGGTCGGAAATATATAAATACTCGCTTGCCACAAATAGTCATCGAGACATTAAAATGTAGAGGCCATTTTAATAACGGAGATACAATATATGTAATAATAAAGAAAATAAAAACATTTTCTTATTTAAAAACTACATTCAAGAGAGAGGAAACGTCTATCGAGCAAGTGGAAATATTTCTGCAAATATTCCGCGATACAGAAATAACTGATGCGCGCTCGGTTATTCATAAGTAATGTCCTCGCATGAACAAGGTAATTGCCGTTCCGCGACAATAACGAATGACTTACGATTATGTTTTCCTCGGTTCCCCGGGAAAAAAAGAGGGGGCGGAAAGCAAAGTAGTACAATCTGCGGGACCGCCGTTTGGCCGTAACAGATACGGCCAGGAAATAAATGTCTGTATAAAGGAGTTGGCAAGTTCGCCGGATGATATCAAGATGCCGCCGGCTAATACCGCTCGCCAGTTTAGTCCGAGGGTGAGACGGCGTTTCACCGGGGGGGAATGTACCCCTTTATCCCGCGCCTATCTCCCTCGCCAGTGCTCCGATATCAAAAGAATTTTGGCTTTATTTCCTCGCTTTTATCCACCCGGGAATGGCACGCTGTGTATCTAATAAAGAGAAATTATATCTCCCGGGTCGGACTTTTACCCAGAATAGCCCCAGCGTCGTCTTTCATCGAGCCATGCTCGTGCCATGTCTTTGGTAACAATGCGAGCTCGAGTTTCACGTACTTTATAAGTAACGGTCAAGCGATCACAAGACGGTAAGTACTAAAGTACCTCGCATGTATCCGATGTATATCACGCGTGTATCACGGTGAAGTTTTAATTTCATTCACGATTATACGATATCAAACGGATAGAAGGATAATTGCCCAACGTAAACAAGTTCTCGAGGTATTCATTAACCTGCCAGCGTCATAGTTGGCGATGCGATCTTCCGTTTTGTTGATTTCGAGATTGTCAGAATTCGTCTTCTAACGCATTAACGGCAAGAAGGAAGCACATAAATTGCCGAATAAGACAGGCGAATGCCGCACCGGGATATCACGCGTCAACCGGCTTGTTTCGGAAGCGAGGAGACAGGGACTGTCGCATGGCAGATGCTCGGCCGGTTGTGCGTCTTGTTCCATTCCGGCCGAGAGGCAGAAATGTGTCAACGTGTCCGGCATGAAAGACGAATGTCCAACGGAGGTTCTCATTAGCAGACCGCACACCCGAGGGACGTTCTAATGTCCCTTTGCGCTTTTCCGCCCTCTTACCTTTCTCGTTTCCGTGTAATTCCACCGGCGAGGAGTCTCCAGGTGCTCGTGAATGTCCGGGATCCCTCAGTTGTCCTCCCACGCTGACGCCCTGACCAGTTAATCTTGGCATTTATTCATATAAAGGTCAAGACTAATCATCTCAATAAACAAGCATGAAATTTACCTTGTGTTGTTTTCCGTTTCCTTGCGGGCAATCCTGTTAATTTCTCAAGCTTCGTCGCAGGAAGATATTACTCGGCAAAATTTGCTCCGAGAAATCTGAAAATTCCAAAAATAGATAATTATTATGATGATGTAAAAGGAAGACAGTGCGAGACTACTACTATTACATTTATGAAAGGTTTGCCAGACGTATCGATTGGCTACCAGACAGAATTCTTGGAATCTTTATAGACTCTAGAATTTTTTTATTCCATTTTTTTTAGCCAATCGCCATGTCCGACCGACAAATGTAATATCATAATTTAAGGATTGTATTTTCGACTTGGTTGGGTGCAACTTTATTTTTAAAGAAGAACGTGATATAACGTGTTTTATACCGACTATTAATTTTACCCCGCATACATTTTTTGCAAAGATTAAGATATATATCTTGTTGCGATTTATACGACGCGAGAAACTGAAATGACTTTTGTACAGGTAACTGAACGTATCTCGTGACGCGATCGATATGTCGAGTCGTGCAAAAGGCGAATGAAGTATGCGGCACAGTCGAACATATGTAGTACCATTTTCATATCATTCATCGCACTTGGCCTTTGTGACAATGTAACGGCATGTACGAGAGGTAACGAAGTAATAATGTATCATGAGACCGTGTCGTAAACCACAAACGACGACATCATCAGCGACGCTATTTTTGCCTCTGTGACTTTAACACTTTTCTATTTGATTCACCGTCATAAAGTCACGTCGATGAGCAAGTGCAATAAAGTACAATATTTGTAGAGACAGGCATGCGTCTTGTGTGAGAAAACGAGCGGAGAAACCCGACGCTGCATTACGTGCTATTTTGCTCGTCGGATATATTGTAGAATATTGTAATGATACGAGTCTACGGTATGAAACCGAAGACTGCCTTTCTGACAGATGGAATGGCAGACATCTCGCAACGGCAGGATGTACACAGAGAGCGAAAACGATCGCCCGAACTCATCTCGGGAGAAATATGTTTGCGCGCTGGCTTTCGTTCGCCTAGGGTGCTCGATGGAAACACGGTCGTAAAGTGCGCCTGCCACACACGTCTTATCCCTTTCACCACCGTACGTTCCGAGGAGCGCCGGCCATATATTCTCGCCATGATGGCCCCGGAAAAATTTAGAAAACTGCAATTTCACGACGATTGATCGTGACACGTATTTTACCTTTCTAAACCGGCCCTAACTCGAGGCTAACGTATGGTTATCGTTGTTTAAATGCAGCGAGCGTGCCGTAGATGTATCGCGACAGATTAAAGGGCCGACTCGATTACCTCGCTTTATTCGGTGCTTTCCTCAATAAAGACGTCTTATCGCGGCGCTGACCGTGATTAACCGCGTCGTTATCATTGCTCTCGCATAAATCAATCGGAATATATGCGTGAGCAACTGACGTATCTACACCCTGAGAAAAATCGTTTGATTGTACAAGACGTATATGATTGAAGGTATCTTGGTTCAATCCAACAAGAATTTCTAGTTATCATGAGACTCGATTTTTTTATAACTAGAACGTTTAAGGATGTTTTGTACCTATTTTCAAAATATTGAGAATTTAATTAATCTTAATGAAAATTGTACAGAATGTCCTTACATATGTTTAGAATCTTCGGTACAATTTTTAAATCGATTCACTAAAGCGTTCACAAGTTGTAAGGATTTTAATTTGCACCGAATTAACATGTGTTCTGGGAAACGTATAACCACGTCGATTCAAATGACAAAAACATGTGGAAATGATATTCAGAATTTGTTGAAAATTTGCAAAAGTTTAGATACAGAAGAAATATTTGGTCAAATAATATTATACAAGTACTAACTGGTTAAAAAGGTATTAAATATAATTCAATTAACCACTGTATCCTGTCACAAGACAAAATTCTCTGCCAAAAGTTAATCATTTCGATTAACAAAATTCGGAATATTTCAGTAAAAACGCAATAAATATTAAAAAATACATCTCTGCGCTGTAGCTAAGATTAAATTGTAATATTCTACACATTTCTTAAAATTTCTAAAAATATATCAGTGGATATATTCGTCAATATTGATTTTCAGATACTACTTTTTGCTAGGATTGTACATACAAAACATCCTTAATAGATTTTACTATAAAGATTTGGTTAGTATTTTCTGGTTGGATCTATAAAATTTTTGTTACATTAATTTCTTTGCTTGCTTCTTAACTTAACTCGTATTCAATAATTGCCATGAAATGTATATAAAGAATTAGTATTAACGTTAAATCCAAAGTATATTTTTTTTTCTTTCGAGCAGTAGTGCCAGAAAGAGGACGCTAGCTCTCTGATTGCGTGTGTTTGAGCTGCATCCTCTTCTTGCATCACTGTTTGTCAGTTTAATTTCTAACAAACTAAATTTAAAATAATTGATTCAATAATCTGGATTGAATTTATCCAATAATCTTGATGGAATTCAAAATATTAAATAATAATTCAAAATATTAACAGACTTTTGAGATTGGATGGAAAAAATTTTAGACGACTCGGCGCTGGCGAGTTTAGTATTATTAACCCGAAAATTTGATAAATTTAACAGGAAGAAATTAATCAGATTCATCTGGTAATTCCTACACGAATTCTGGTTCGTCCATTGTCCAACAGACATACTGATTGAATCTACCAGAAAAAATTCTAATTAATGCAACCTGTGCAGAAATAATTTTTTCAACACGCAAGATGATAACGCAACGTTCGAAAATAGGGTGCGATCGTACTCTGTAAAAGTACGAAGGAGCTCGAGGGATAGATCGCGCGGTTCGTTCCTCGACAATCGATCAGACTGACGTGCGGTGGCCTTAATCGGCAGCAAGTGTACACGGATCGGGTACACGCGTCAGGACGCGACGACGTAGTTAACGGCTTCCAGGAATGGTCTCCCGCTCCTCCCAGCCCCGGACAAACGCTCGCTGGCTCCATATCGAGGCTCCATCTGCGGCTACCGTGCCACGCCGACAGACGTTTCGCCGATCGGCAATCTCTGTCGGATTATTATGCCTGTCCACCGCGGCTATATGATCGCTGCGGACACGCCGGTATGCCGGCCTCATTAGCTGTTCGGTGCTCGGCTTAAGCCAATGAGTAATGGGCGGCTGCGCGGTACCGCGGTACCGTGACTGCTCATATCTTTCCCGACAGATTTACCGTTGCCCCCTCACCCCCTCTCGCCTCCCTCGCCCCTTTATTCGATGCGCGCTCCAGACGCTGATCTTTCAAGCCGCGCACGGAAGATTGACGAGTATGCGCTTTATACGTACGAAACCTGTAATTTCGCTCGCGTACGCCATATTCGTACTCGATCATTATCGTTCTAATAGTCTAGTCTCCGATAAAGAAGAGGAACGCAAACAAAAATAAATTTATGTAATACACTATTAATCCTTGGCAAAGTTACATCGTTATTCCCTCTGTTTATCTAAATTGATATCCTGGATTAGGCCATCGGTAATGTTAACTTCTCTCTCAGTTTATCTCGAGGTTTCGCTTCCTCGGAGAAGCAACGACGGGATTTTATATAGCAACATTAGTCACGAATTCTACTTTATAAACATCATCGTAATCGTGATATATTGGAGCGATTGTCGCTCGGATGCCAAACTCATTAACTGTTTGGAGCTGGGCTTAAACTAATGAGTAATGATAGCTCCTCCCATCGCGGCCGCGCCGGCTGCTCGTATTTTTTTTTTTTTTTTTTTTTCTAAAGCCAACTCACAGCTGACCGCGTACAAGCTGCGATTATTTATAACGCCCAGTTTAAGACCCAAGGCTCTCTCGTGTCGTCTGTCGGAATAGGAATAGAAACAGGCATGCGTAATGGTCTTTACATTACGGAAGATCGCGATATAATGCATCGAACAACAAACAGCTGCATCGGAATATCCGCCTGTCAATGTGACGATTGTTTATCGCCCGGCTATTGCCCAATCGCAAATCGACCATCTACGTCAGCTGCGATTCCTAGGAAACGCACGCACGTACACCCCGGCCGAGATCGATTACTGAAAATTATTACTCCAATAAAATGCCCCGCTGCACGCGAAATAGTACCTTGGCGCGTTTTAAATATCCATACATTCGTTTATTTGTCCTTACGGAATAGTATCGAGCGAAATGGTTATACCATTTTTATTCTAACTCGAATGGAGCGATAATCCCTAAGGATGAATATACATGCATGATATAACAGAGCCGATGGAAACTGCTCACTGCCTACGTGCAAAGTGCCTTCGCCGTCTTTCTGCCATTATCAAGCAACCTATGTTTCTTTCGCAGATATTACGCAACGCGGTATATCCTCTTTTTCCGTACTTATCAATGTTCACATAAGGGTTCGATAAATTGAGCGATAAATTTATCTCTCTCGCGAAATCCTAAGCTGCGAATAATATGAGAAATATCCTGTCATTATCCGACGAGGAGAGCCGACAGTGCCAAGGAATTACTTCTTTCACATTTCATTTCGTTCTCGTTCCTCTGAGTGATGCCCAAGATACCGCCCACGCTCGCGTCTATAAGAGCCGACTGATATATCGCCTCGTTAATGTTTCGCTTCATCAGATGTTATGACTGAACATCCTTTACTCTGCCACTGGGTGGTCATTTCTGGCTGCTCTTGTTGCGGGCCCTGGCGTTATAAATTATAGCAGACGTCGCCACGCGCTCGTAAGTCACACGTTTCGTCTCTCGGGATTATATCCAATAAGCGCCCGCCTCATCTCCATGATATCGCTATACGATCGAATATTAATTCATAAAAATATCAAGATGACGTTACATCGATAGGCGTTCTTCGGTTCGACATAAGCAACGCGTGTATTAGGTATGTCTTTAGCTTAAAGCTAAAGGGTGCGAATAAATTGTTTTAAGAAAAGATCGAGGTTGACGGAAACCTTGTCTGTAACCGTCCAGGGTATATACATTAGCTATTTAATGTTTAAAGCCGTCGTGTAACTTTGAGATTTAAAGGATTTAATCATGGTTTATAAATAATCTCGCTCGGGGCCTCTGATCGTTATGTCGAAAAACATTGTGCCTCGCAAAGGCATGCCAGGTAATAAATTTCCCGCAATGCTTGTCGCAGTAAAATTAATGATAGACTCAAACTATCCGTGCCACTGAAACAACAAATCTTCGTATGTGAATCTCTGAAACCATTAAAGTCGGCTGATATATGAAGACTAAGAAATACGTGCCTTTAAAGCCACTTGGGCCAAACTCCGATTAACCCAATCGGCGATTAATTCCATCGGTAGAATGGCCCGCGGCAAAATTTCCAACTATAGCTTGTCGCTTCTAATTTAATCGGCACGAAATTATTTATCGCCCGCGATAAAAATAATCGTTACATTGAAAAGATATTTTATAAAACAGTAAAATATATTTCGCCGCGGTTACGAGACTCGTAAAAAAAAAAAAGAATAACCGGCGTGGACGCGTTCTTTTTAACCCGAAAAAAAAAAAAAAAATATGGAAACGTTACACGATAAAGATTATCTCTCGTGTCGAGCTATCATTCCTCCCATCCAATTTCTTATTCATTCCCTGAACTTGACAGTCAATCTATGCGTATTACGAAGGGATCGTCGTAGACGACGTATTCGAGGGTGAATGCCTTTCCGCGCTGCACACGCACGTACGTATGTACATGTCCTCACGCAAAGGGTCGTACACACGTACGCGCTCAAAGAATAGCGTGGGCCACGATCTCTGTAAAGGCGTCGCCGTTTAGATAATAACGCGCATTTTATCTCCCTCATAAAACCTAATTTATAGCCGCATCCAAGTCCATAGGCGTGTACGTACGACTATCGTGAATAGGAAGGAGCCTGACAACGGCAGTGCCGTAATTTCGGGGAAAGTGCCCGTTTGGGATCCAAGTTGTTTCATAAATTTCTTTCTAAAATGATAAAGCGTATCGCTTTCGAGATTATGCTGTACACAAAAATTGTGCATAAAAATCATTATCAAGCGTCGTTGTTCGTCGAAATATTTATATAACACGGACGATTAAACGATAAATCGGTATTTCTTATAATCAAATTAAACCGACATTTAAACAAGATTGCAATCAAATATTTCAATCCTCGGTATTGTCTTTCTCCAAAAATACGCACAAGGATATTTTCGAACACGACTTCAAACAGATGATTAATTCAGCATTCAATCGATCGATGCAAAAGTAGTTTATATAAATATTAGGAACGCGCGATTAAATTGGAAGATAGCGATAGGCCAGGGTGATAGCTACGCCTTTGAACAGCGACCCATACGCACAAAGAAAGAGAGACAGAGAGGGAGAGAGAAAGGGGGAGGGGGGGAGGCAAGTCTGCATCGGGAAAGGTCGCCGAGAGTGAATAGGATAGTGATATTATATCGGTGTTGAAACTTCCCCCTTCGGCATTTAGGTGACGAAAAATATGGACCGTCACGTGCGCGCGCGGGTTCACGATGGCTCGGCGCAGTTATCGACGATAAACCGCGTACGTGTTTACCGTATAATCTCCGACGGTCGGCGATAAATCCGTGATTTACTCTCATTACCGTGCCTCTGAATGTTACGACTTGTGCTTGCGATATACACGGCACCGGGATAGTTAAATTTATTCATATTGGCATACCATTTTCCATCCGTGCCCGTGTCCCACTTATCGCCGATCGAAATAAGGATCGCGACAATAATGAGCCCCATCGCGTTTATATTATTCGAGACCCTCGAGAAATAATATTCCTCGATTGAATACAAATTTATGCATTCTCCTTCTCTCTTTCCTCGACGTACAAGACGATGGATCGCGTTCTTGGAAACAACTAGTCTGCTTTCCTTTCGAGATTCAATTATCGGGGTCCCCGTATAAGTGCGTCGATGATGTCGCGATATTTATTAAGCGCGATTGAAACGGGGGGCGAGAAATGCGCGGAAAATGTTCGATTCGCGATGAATTTCGCCATAGTCATATTTCACATTCCCGCGCGTTCTCGTCGCGGCTTTAAAACGAGAAAAATTCATGCCGGAGCGGAGGAACGCTTTGTCAGCGAAGTGCAACGAATTTCGCGCCGGCACGTATCGAGAGTAACGAGAGCGGCATATGGACATGTTACGCGAGAGCGTGGACGGGATCGGGGAAGAAGGATCGGACTCCACGGGAGAGAGAAGAGGCTATAAGGTAACATACATCACGTTTCCAGTTTATGGTCCGATACGCTCCTAGGAATTGGCACCCGCGCCGAGCTTTCCCGCAAATGCAAGGAATGCGAGGGAGGGGGGGAGGGGGGGCAGGGAGATACGAGGCGTTATGGCTCTTCCTGGCTCGTAACCTCTGGTCATAAAGCTACTGCGGGCTAAAATATTGTCCGCCGCCGCGCGTCTCCGCCTACGCGCCTAGTCGTCCATCTATCTTAATGCTATTACCGTAATTTATTAGCGTCGTTCTCGGCCGATAAATCGATCCTCCGTGTCTGCCGGTCGAAAACGATTCCGGTCCGGTATAAAGATCGTCCGTAATACCATTATGAATTATAATGCGCCGAGCGAAAGTTAACAAAGGCTCGCTCAGCCACGCGAATAGAATATTTGCGAGATAGGTGGAAATCGCGAAAATTATTGCAGAAACGACGGATGAATGCAATTGGAGGATAAATCGGATTTTCTATTAAACAGTCACCTCGCTTGCCGACTCTCGCCGATCGCGACTGCAAACTTTTAATTATATAACTCGACTTATCTTTTTCCAAAAATATGCATGTCAACATGTTACGGAGATGCCGGCTTTCAGTCTCTTACGAGACGCTAAAATATGGCACCGATCATAATTTATTCGTACCGGCAACTTGATAAATAACTCTAATCAAATATGAGTACGAGTAATTAATTTAATCGGAACGAAAACGAGACCAAATTCGAGATGCACATATCGGGTAAACTTTAACGACACGCTGAAAAAAATATGATTGCGTTAATTAGAATTCTAGTAGATTCAACCAGTATGTCTGTTGGAAAATGGACGAGCCAGAATTCTTGTAGGAATTACCAGATGAATCTGATTAATATCTTCCTGTTAAATTTACCAAATCTTCTGGTTAATAATACACAGAGAAAAATGTATACTGTATTCAAGTAAATATTATTTATTTTAAGTATATCATAAGTTTGTATATCCGCAAATATATCATAAGTTTACCACAAGCATTAAATTTAATTGAATATATTCTGAATTTTAGTAAGTGCAGTATTTTAGTCAAGAATATTAAAACAAAAATTTGGTTTGCTTACTACAAGAGTTGACATAAAGTAGGTTTGATTTTTCTTTGATACAACTTTATAATATTCTTGAAGAGAAAATAAATTTTTCTTTTGAGTACATGATAATGAAATTTTCTAACACTTGTGATGAGTATATTTTAAGATTATTATCAAGAATATATTCTTTGTTGAAGAAAACTATTACTTAAAAAAAAAAAATAAACTAAGTAATCGCTTTTCTTGGTAATAAAATAATATTTTTCTCTGTGTACTAAACTCGCCAGCACCAAGTCGTCTCAAATTTATTCCATCTAATCTCAAAAGTCTGTTTAATATTCTGAATTCCAACAAGATTATTGGATAAATTCAATCCAGATTATTGAATAAATTATTTTAAATTCAGTTTGTTAGAAATTAAACTGATAAACAGTGATGCAAGAAGAGGATGCAGCACACAATCAGAGAGCTAGCATCCTCTTTCTGGCTACTGCTCGTAAGAGAAAAAAAAATATACTTTGATCTAACGTTTTTATTATTTTCTGGTTGGATCTATAAAATTTCTTGTTACATTAATTTTATAGATCCAACCAGAAAATACTACCCAAATCCTTATAGTAAAATCTATTAAACGTTCTAGTTATAAAAAATCGAGTCTTATCACGATAACTAGAGAAATTCTTGTTTGATTGAGCCAAAATGCCTTCAATCATATACGTCTTGTTGGTACAATCAAACCAAATTTTTCTCAGTGCACGACTCGAGATGTGGAGCAAGAGTGACACTCGATCCTCCACCGAAGCATCGAATAATTCAGGGACGCGGCGCGCGAATCCATTTCGGGCTCGCGTAAATTTTCGCGTACGCCTCCGCCGGTTACGAAAACGGCGAATCGACGGAAGCGCGGCTATCACGACCGACGACAGCGCGCGGCCGGGGACAAAGTGTTTCCCGAACATCGTAAAAACAAAGCCGGACAGTTACGACGCGTCGCCGCGCTCTCGAAAAATATAATCGCAATAACAAGCTCCCTCGTACAATGCACGGGCACATTAAGGCGCGACCATATTTAACGACGCGAGCTTCGAGATCTCACGTGGTGCGCGCGCGCGCGCGCGCGCAATATTATTATCTCGTGATTCATAGCGCGCATTCATAAATGTTCCCGGGCTGTATAACGGAGCGGTACACGACGGCGTGTATCGATTAACGTCGCTTCCCGACGGGATTTACAGCCGGCGACTAAATTATTTAAAGTCTTCATTTGTACCGCGACGGATGGACGGACACGAGCTGGCGACCACGTAGCCGGTTCTTCTTCGGCCGGGCCGACGGTGTAAGCTCCTCGTACAGTCCATGGAGAAAGTTGGACGTCGCTCCGAATAAAGCCGCGTCCACACCTGTCCCCTCACCGTTCCTCGTTGCAATTGTCAGCAGTAATACTTGTTCGAAATTCTCAATATTACATATACGTTGTCCTATTAATATATCAATCAAATAATATATCAATCAAATAATATATTTCCGCAACTATAAATAAATTTAGATCGAATCGCGACGATTTATAAACTCGATACCTTAAACGGAGGGGGACGCCGTCATAGAAAGATTGAAACGTCCATGAAACACCCTGTTACGTTCGCACATGTATAACTAAGGTGTATGAAACTTTCACGGGCGAGTGTATACACGACAGAGATCCTCGGAGATTGCGTTGGCGTGCCGCGACTGCCACCGTCCACGCCACGAACGTCCAACAAACGCTCCGCGCTAAAGTGCGCGCGATAGAGACGGAGCAACGGGGGAGAAAAACGCTAAGAGAGAGAGAGAGAGAGGCGAAGGGAGAAGAAGCGTGTGTTCCGGGCGTCCGCAGAGTCCTCGGCCCGGCTCGTGTGTGTTCCGTGTTCCGAATGCACGGAACAAGCGCTGCTTGTCCGCGGCCACCTGAGTTATGATCGCTCCGCGCCCACCCTGCCAGCTCGCCTGCCTCCTACCTACCTACCTACCTACCTACCAACCTACCTACCTACCTATCTACCTATCTACCTCCTTGGCTCGACTGACTGCCCTCTTCTTCTTCACCCTTCTACTTTCACAGCGGCCATCTTGCCTCTGGCCGAACCGGTTGGCTTCTCTCGAGCTTAAGGTAGGTACACACTATCCTGGCCGCCAAGATCGCGCGGGTTTATATCCGAGTCATCCCGCGCGTGTTTGCCGACAGTGCTGAATATGAATGAACGATTCTTCCTTCCAAGTGCGCGTCTCCCGCAAACAAACGAAAATAACGTTAGCGTCGTACAATCTAATTGTGAATTTCAAGCGGCAAACACGCGCTTTGCAGAAACGATCGTTCGTTGTAATGTACGCGGGATTACATTGCCGCTGGGTAAATTCGTCCGAGGGCGCGGGGGGGGGGGGGGGAGAGGAAGAGGCCGCGGCAGCTGTACAGCTGCTAAAACATCCGCTCTCTCGTACGTAATAAACTTTTCCCGCGGCAAAACTCGCGCTTTAAACCAACCTGCCGTTATCTAACCCGACACCCGGAGAAACGGCCGCATAAAAAGTGTAGCGAGACCGCCGGACAAAAAGCGCGCTCGCATACATCGCCGGGGGGGGAAACACCGCGTGTCCCACGCGAGGGATGTTGCGCGAAAGCGAGATACGTGCACGTGTGTACGAGTAATATACAGCTCTTGCGCGCGCAATGCGTCTCAATGGCGCGCAAGATTTATCTTTCATTAGTACGTCGTTTGCATTGAATAGACACGTTACGGGTTAACGGGCCGAGCCGGCTCGTTAATTGTTTGTTCTCGTCCTCGCGCTTGACGTTGCGCCCGGTACCGGAGCGGGGTCGGCGTGACGCTTTGACAAGGTACGACCCGGCGGGGATATTATTACGGAGAGCCGGGGTGCTTATACAGGGTATATATCGCTCCCTACGGTATGCGAAAAGGTGTACGAGAAGAGAACCACGGACGCGGCCCCGCGGCAGCGAGGCGTGGTCGTCGCAATTACCTCGATAGAGTTACAAGACTCGTTTTATGCCTCTCGCACGAATTTATTAGCCCCATTCGCGTCAGTTTAATTACGAACACGACCCGCCGTGATTCCCTCCCCGTTCGCTCTCGACCTCGCTGTCGCCCGGGCTCCTTTTTTTCCGGCGAAAGGCGAGCCGCTACCGTCGAGCGGAAGGGAAGAAAAAAGTGGCGCGAAACGTAAAATCGGAACGATAACGGAATGTCTCGCGTAGGTATGAGAAATATACGAGAGGAGTAATCAATCGTATTCTCTTCGCGTCGAGCTGTATATCCTGGAAACTCGAGCGGTAATTAGTTTTACCACTAAACGTTTAACGGAATCCAAGAGGCTGCTAACTGCTTCGCGCCTACGCAACTCGGTCTGTCCTTCTCCTTCCGTCCCCCTCGTCCCCCTTTTCTATTTACTCCTTTTGGTAACGTCTCCCTCTCTCTCTCTTCACCTCGCGCCATCTCTCTTTCTCCAACGCCGCAGCCAGACCGCCGTTTTCTAGCTAATTGTGAGCAATTAAGCGAGGCAAAGTCAAGGAATATTATGAAATTAATTACATGGCGAGATTGAAGCCGAGGGGAACCGGTGTGCAAAGTGTAGATAAGTATTTAAATTAACGCGTTTTTATACGCTCCGTCCAACATGCTCTCCGCGCCCGCATTATACCACTTTGATTTCATTCCGCGGGTTTATTATTGATTAAACGAACGCGTCGTTTTCTTTCAATTAATTTTAATACCCGCATCTCTCTCTTTACGAGGACGGCTACGGCGTCTCCCCCTTATCTATGGAATATTCACGATGCGTAAAAAGTATCTTCCGTCCGCCGCGATATATACGCGCAGCTTGTTTTCGGAATACCTTATGAGGGACTCGTTTCATCGGCAGATTACGTACCTGGGATAAAACGGAATGAAATAGTATACTATTTATCTCGTATCGTCGGGACGTATCTTTTCTCGGAAAATACACCTCGACCGTATCCCGCGCGTTTATCTCGAATAAATATTCGTCGGCGCATCCATCGGATACGTCATAAATTTTCATACGTATGTTAATGCGCTCTTTATAATTAATAAAGCGGCTAAAGAGAAGGAGATACGAGTGCGCGATTGAATGGCATCGCTAATTATTTACGCGCGCACTGACAAAAAAATCTGGTTGCATTAATTAGAATTCTGGTAAATTCGACCAGTATGTCTGTTGGAAAATGGACGAACCAGAATTATTGTAGGAATTATTGCCAGATGAATCTGATTAATTTCTTCCTGTTAAATTTACCAAATTTTCTGATTAATAATACTAAACTCGCCAGCACAAAAGTCTGTTTAAGGATGTTTTGTATATACAATCCCAGCAAAAAGTAGCTGAAAATCAATTTTGGCGAATATATCCACTTTTGGTGTATTTTGAGTACGAGAAATTGTGTGGAATATTACAATTTGATCTTACAGCGCAGAGATGTATTTTTTAAAATTTATTGCGTTTTTATTGAAATATTCCGAATTTTGTTAATCGAAATGATTAACTTTTGGCAGAGAATTTCGCCTTGTGACAGATACATGGCTAACCTCATTAAATTACATTTAATATCTTTTTAACCAGTTAGTACTTGTGTAATATTATTTGACCAAATATTTCCTCTGTATCTAAACTTTTGCAAATTTTAAACAAATTCTGAATATAATATCATTTAGTAATATTATTTCCATGTGTTTTTCTGAATATAATATTATTTACTAATATTATTTCCATGTGTTTTTCTGAATATAATATTATTTAATAATATTATTTCCATGTGTTTTTGTCATTTGAATCGACGTTTGATTATACGTTTCCCATAAGAACACATGTTAATTCGGTGCAAATTAAAATCCTTACAACTTGTGAACGCTTTAATAAATCGATTTAAAAATTGTACTAAAGATTCTAAACGTATGTAAGGACATTCTGTACAATTTTCATCAAATTCTCAATATTTTGAAAATAAGTACAAAACATCCTTAATCTGAATTCCAACAAGATTATTGGATAAATTCAATCCAGATTATTGAATAAATTATTTTAAATTCAGTTTGTTAGAAATTAAACTGATAAACAGTGATGCAAGAAGAGGATGCAGCACACAATCAGAAAGCTAGCGTCCTCTTTCTGGCACTACTGCCCGTAAGAGAAAAAAAATATACTTTGGATCTAACGTTTTTATTATTTTCTGGTTGGATCTATAAAATTTCTTGTTACATTAATTTTATAGATCCAACCAGAAAATACTATCCAAATAATTATAGTAAAATGTATTAAACGGTTCTAGTTAAAAAAAAATCGAGTCCTATCATGATAACTAGAGAAATTCTTGTTTGATTGAAGCAAAACGCCTTCAATCATATACGTCTTGTTGGTACAATCAAACGATTTTTCTCAGTGCGGAAATGAAAAACAAATATTTCCCGTTCGCCTGAAACGCGAGAGAGAAATTTGCATTTTCATGCCTCGCTCTTATAATCGCGGCGACATTAGGTGCCAAAAGGGCGGAGAGCAACAGCCGTGAACGTTTGCGAGCGTGACGCTCGACATCGAACCGCGGCCCCTCCGCAAACCTGGAAGACAAATCGGCCCCGGTAGGTGCAAACGTCGTAATTATCGGAGGCGGTAATCTCTCGACACGAGAGAAAAGGAGGAGGCGGTGGAGGAAGCGGAGGAGACGCTCAGTGAAAACTGCGTGACAGAGTGGCTCGGCCCGTTCACCCTTGGCGTCCTCCGGGCTGGTTTGCCCCCCTTTTGCCCGGAATGTCGGCCATACATTACCGCCGTTAGAACCCGCCAGCACTATATTATTCCCTAGCGCGGCGCGGTAAAACGAGACGGCGGTAGAGCCCAGGAGGGAAGGAGGAACAGAGAGGTCGGGGAGAAGCGAAGGGGACGTCGAACGCCCGCGAGAACAAGAGGGAGAGAAGGAGAGCGAGAAACGGGGGAGTCAAGTGGCTGAAAGGAGAGAAACGTGGCTCACTCGGCTGCTGATAAACTACCCTACCGCGCTCACTCCGCAGGTATAATAAAATGATATCTGGCCGGCTGTATCGCGGGGATTCTCCGGCTGCGAGCGGCACAAAGTTGCCGCCTGCGCGCCCGCGGCGGTCGTGATAAATAATGCCCGTGAAGCGGCGGGCGGGCCGCGTGTGTTTCGTTTCGTACCGCATCCAGCTACGGGGTATCGCGAATCTTGCGCGTCTCTCGACTCGCGTATGCAAACACGAACGAGACTGCGCGACACCTCCGCGGGCCCGGATCCTGCCCGCTCTTCTCATTTCGCGCCGAAAGCTCCGATGAAAAACGGATGCTCCGAGCTCCTCTTCGCCCGCTCGTAAATCGTCAGACTTATAAAGACGCATCTCCCCTCTCCGCCTGCT